TAAGTATTTTTATCTTTACAATTATATGTTTTCTTCTTTATTTTTAGCTTTGAACTAGTTCATAAACTGGTTCATAGGAACACTAGTTCATAAACTGGTTCATAGGAACACTAGTGCATTCAAACCCATTACAATATACATAAATTTCCAATCACTTGAAAAAACAATTCTATTGGCCAATGAATCTCATCTTCATCAATAATACCATTGTTTTTGAGATCAAATAATTGATACTCAAACAAATGACCAATAATTGCTAATTGTTCATATTTTTCTTTACCGATATATAAGCAAATACTATATAATTTATAAATTATTATATCAAATCAAATAAATAAATAAATAAAATAAAATAAATAAAATTAAAAACTATAAATACCAATATTGTTTATCTGGCTTTAATACCTCCTCTCCTTCATTTAGTAAACAAAAGGTAATCATTACATGATTTTGCTTTCTTTCAACATTTCGACCATCTCTACCAAGTTTAAGTTGAATTGTATCACCAAGTTTAAGAATATTAGATTCTTTCCAAATTGGAATAAGAATATTTAATAAAAATATCATTATCATTATCTTCAATAGTATCAGATTTTTCAATATAAGGTTGATTATTAATATTTTGATTAATATTAATAATGCCGATTCTAATTTTTTCATTCATAATATTTGTAATTTCAACTTTTCGATTAGCAACTTGATATTGACATATAAGTTGAGGTTCAACTGCTGCAAGACGACGATATCCATTACGTCCTATTAAAGATTCATCACAAGCTTGAGAAATAGTATCAAGTTTGTTAAAATTGGTTGTACTATTAATTGAGCTAATGTTTAAATTTATGGGTTCACTATTAAAATCTAACTCTATATTATGTAAATAAATGATTGGTTGTTCTTCTTCAGTTGTTATTCGATGATAAGCAATTAATGAATTTATTGCTTTTTTAGAATCTTCACCAAAAGAAGCAAGTCTTTTGTTTTGATCTGATATAGTTTGTAAAGTTGAAAGTGGCCGTTTTTTTTTTGTTTACAGTATTTTGAAAATATGAAAATCTAGAGCTAGAAATATTTTCTATTCTATATTGATGTAACCATCCAATATCCAATCCAAATACATGAGAACCAGATAATCGTAAAGATACTTGATTAATTTTCTAATAAGCCAGTTATTATTATTATACAGTGTTAATTTATTATATACGTACAAATAACAAAAATAAAAATATTAATACTGTACCTTTAAAAAGGTAATTACAACATTTGTTGCTGATTTATCACTATATATACTCCATTCTGCATTGTTTTTTTCCATGTAATAGAATATCTTACTTTATTATTTAATATATATTTTGTTTCACAGCGCAAAATTTGATTCGCAATTTTTGTTTCAACACTATATCCATCAGGTATCCAATATTCTTTTCTTTGAGTTTTTCTTACTTTTGATGGATAATAGCCTAATGATATAATATTATACCACGAATAGAACATATTACTTTTTATTTAATAAAAAGCATTAATATATGAACAAGCCGGATAATTATGTTCAAAAACTCTAGTAGAATAATTGTCTGTTAAAAAAAAAATTTATTAAATATATTATAATAAGATAGCTATTAAATATTAAACTCTTTTTTTAAGAAATTATATTTCAATTCGAACATACCATAATTATTAAAGTTTTCAACCATATTTTCTTTATTATTTAAAATCGGTTCAATTTCAGTAATTTTGCTATTAGCATGATCAATATTTTTCATATTATTTGCTTTAAATTTCTTAGTTATTTCTACATTAGTAATTGCCCGCCTTAGAGGTACTTCGTAGTTTGTTTTAGTAGTTTCTTGATCAGGTTCTAACATACGGCTAACTGCTATAATAAATATAAAAAAGTATTAAAAATATCAAAAATATTATTTTTATAATAAGTTATAAAATCCGACTAATTTTAAAATTACCTCAAACTGTAAATTTCAAAAACTGATTTAGAACTGATTTAGAATCTCAAAATTCAGTTATTTTCGTTCAAGTAAAGCTTTCGCTATTGGTCTATGACAAAATAATTAAGTTACGATGTAGTACAAATCCGTAATTGTCACAAAACTCTATTTATTTGATTGGCTAAATTTTGTAAATCACATTCGAAAACATCACAACTGATCGTCAATAGAATCAAATTAGCCCATATGGGAATTATCGCAGAAAATAGGGTTTATAATTTTTTTATAAGTACGCATGATGTAAAAAGCTAAAAATATAGCTTTCGAAAATTTCCAGTGTAGAAAATAAATGAACCTAAAATACGAGCATGGTCGAAGAACAAACAATCAACTTATTGCAGAACATTCGAAGTTTCTATTACAATCAACACAGAATTTACGCAGAGTTCATAAATTTTAAATTTTAATGCACGGATTTTTTTCAGAATTTGATTTTGTCACGGATGGAGTTGGCAATTTATCACCGCAGAAAATCATCTGCCTGTAATTAATCATGGTAAATTATTATGATTAGTTACAGGCTTTTGCAGTGCAGAAGTAATTTTGTATATCCGCACTCTTCCAATGATAAACACATAATTTGGGAATAAAAAAAGCAAATTTGGCAGCAGAGAATAACCATATGAAGGATTCCATGTAAAAATTTTTAAACGTACTATCCATATAAAACTAAAAATTTTTTAAAAAAAGTAATACTAAACGACGCAGCACGATTCTACAAATTCATAAACTTTGCCAGTTAGGACAGCAGAATTAAGACTAAAATCCACTATAGAAGCTTTTTGATTGTATAACGTAATATACATGATGCAATGGACTTCGATTATGCCAACATAACATTCTACTAGCTACACTCTAAGTTTATAATAAATCAAAGTCATCAAGCTACGTTTAAGAATGAAAAAAATGTGAGCGATTATGCTAGTAAAAAAAAAAATATAAAATATGAAAAGATAATGGGTATTAAGCAAACCTTATCATTATATTTCATGATCTTGCGTTTTATCTTTGAAGTATCCACCCAAGTAACAAAATCTTCGAGATTCCTATTTAGAGTTAATTAACAACTATATAAATATATGTTTACAGTATATGTATGTATATAAGAAATAATAGGTACCTTGTGACTAAGTATGCAGGATCAGTAATGGTTTCCGGTCCAACACGAATGTGACCTTGTTCGATAAAAGTAACAGCCTCTTTTACCGTTTCTGCCATTTTTAGACGGCACATTACTATTGGTAGTCTCCGCCTAATATAAAAACAAATTAATGCTTTTAAATGAATCTTTATGTTTCTATCAAAACTAAATATTATAAAACTTTAATATCTCACCTACAAAAAGCAGAAACAGTAATTTTGTCAAGTTGACTAAACTGTTTCTTAGCGGTAATTAAGCCCATAGAACACAGCTTATCCAATAATGCAGCTTCTTGTTTACTCCTAAAGGGATCTCGTGGATCCAATAAAGAAATTCTATTTGCAAGTTTTTTTATTAAACCACATAATTTATTGTATTTGTGATAATCTTCTCGTTTTTGCAAGTGATAACGACGAATGACTTTGATTTCTCGAATATTATCTTCGTTTTTCCACTATTCAATAAAAAAGCAAATTGCTTATTTTTAATTTTATGACGAAAATGAAAAAAAAGATCTATTATATTACCTGGAGAAAATCAACCTTCTTGAGCAATTTCTGCTCATGATATTTAAGTTTACGGACCATTATTAAATCTAAAATCTTACTACGTACAACCTTTTAAAAAAAATTTTAATGCTTATATAATCAATTATGATTGGTCAATCTTTATTTAGACTCTGTCGTATGTTACAAGTGATACAAACCCAAAAAGAGTAAAGCATCGACAAGGAATTTTTTTATCAGATACTGTAGATATTGTGAATATACATGCATCAAAATCATCACGAATTCCAATCTACTGCAACATTAATAATTTGAATACTAAATCGCAAAAGAAAAAAACCTATCTTTTCTTACCTTTAATCAACAATTTGGTTTTAATACTCTAAGGACCTCAAATAAAAATCTTTGAAAATTATCTTTTGTATAGAAAAAACAACCAAATTTATCATCGGGAAGTGTTAATTTTAATGAATATCAAAACTAATAAATGTAATATTTCAATAGAATTTATTTTTCAATAGAACTTATTTTTCAATAGAACTTATTTTTCAATAGAATTTATTTTTCAATAGAATTTTGTGTGGTAAATCAATTGTGTAGAGCTCTGAATTTAGATATTCAACGGCGAACTAATTTAAAATTAGTTATTAACAATTCCCGAAGTTATCAAGTTCATAAAATGGGATAAGTTGCCTGCCCCACAACTTTATTTTTATTTTTATTTTTTGAGAATTGATACAGATATTATAATTTGTTAAAATTTACAGAAAGAATAATATAAATTCTTTTACCCAAATTCCAATAGTTTAGACCAGTTCGCATTTTCATGAATTGGTGCGATTATATTGCCACTAAACGCATGATCGTAAGTTTAGTATGGTGTAGGACATCTAGTCACATCAAAAAATAATTGCTTGCAATAAAAGTTTAATAACTTTTTAAAAAAATAAGCATTTAAAAAAAGACAATTATCATTTATCGCCATGGCGATGCATCGCCACCCCCTGATCGACCAATTATTTTGTTTTGATTTTACATTAATCAAAACAAAACAAATAGTGACCGTGTTATGATTAGAGTTAGTGGTTGGCGAAGCAGAATTTAAAAGGCTTTTCTAACCTAAAATTTCGCAAGGAATTTTTTTTTTCAAGAAAAAAAAGCAGTTCCATAGTCAAAATTTTATGTTAGAAGCGATTTTTTAAAAAAACTTTGTTTTGCTTCGTTTTCACGTTACACCTGATTGGGTGGCGATGCATCGCCATGGCGATGAATCGCCATGGCGATGAATGATAACTCTCTTAAAAAAAAACTTTCTATAATAATATTATTTAAGACCCAAAGAATATCAGTATAGAGTTTTTTTAAAAAGTTATTTTGGTTCAAAATTTTTTTAATTTATTATAATATTTTAAAAAATTCAGCGCTTTATTTTATTAGTAAATATAAAATATTCAGCGTTTATATTATAAAATCCTTTTTAATAGATTAATTAATATATAAAATTTTTTTTCAAACTTTTAATTTCTCCTTTTTTTTTTTATTCAATCTCTTTTAAAAATTTCAGCACTATTATGATAAACATTATATAAATTTTAAAAAATTCAGCACTAAATTTTAATACTAAATTTTAAAATTCAGCACTAATTATTAAAATTTCAGCGCTACTATATATATATATATATATCAAAATTCAGCACTTTGATGTGACTAGATGCTCCGCACCATACTGATACAATGCTATGTTTCGATTTCATTTGGATCTTTATTGGTATATTAAGTATTTTTTATTTGTAGTTTTATGTTTTTTTAGTATGTGAATTAGAGTTGGGACCAGTGTTGAAAATTAATGTGCGGAGGGGATGTCAAAAAAATTTTCCGCGCCTTAAAGATCAACAATATGTGCGCAAAGCGCTCATGGGATTAAAATTTTCAAATTCATATTTGTAATAAGCTTTGGTTTGCGCTATTTTTTTTATGCAACTAACTTACGTTTAATTGGTATTAATAATCCAAATAAAACATATTGAATTAAATTATATCTTTAATTTTTATTGATATCAAACCTATATTGATTTAAAAAATGGATAAATTTGTTATATGACATACCAAAAAGACTTACTATGCTAGTTAAATATTAATAGATTAAATTGAATCGCATAAATAAATAAACAATAATATATTTTAGCACTATCTTGCTGTTATCTTATAAATTAATTGCGAAATATATATATATTTAAGCTATTTGTTTCGCGCACGTTTAAAAAAAGCTTATGTGCGCTGTAGCGCACCAAGATAAATATGTAATGTGCGGCCCACTCACAACCTTGATGCTGAATTTTCAACACCCGAAACGAAACCTACCCGAAACCGGTTTCGGGTAGGTCTAAATCCGAAACCCCGAAACTATAATCCGAAACCTTTGACCAATCAAATTGCAGGATCAGATGTAACGCGAAAATTGATTTGGAAAATCGCTTCTAACTTAAAATTGCATGTCGTCTTTTTTTATAATAAAAAAATTCCTTAAATTTAGATTAAAGAGTCTTTTAGCCATTGCCCTGACCGAATCCTAAATTAACTCTAACCCAACCACTGTTTGTTTTTGTTTTGATTAATGTGAATCAAAACAAACTAAATAATTGGTCATTTGGATCATAAATTTCTAAATCTTGAATAAAACACAATTTAATTATTATCTGTATTTGATAAATTTTCCATACATTTCAGCATAAATGGTGCACAGTATATTAATTATAATAAAACTGAATTATGTACACTATGCTAAATTAAAATTTTAATAGTTTAGGGGTTTGAAAAAGTTTCAGATAGGTTTTGGAGGTTTCGGGTAAGTTTCGGATAAGGTTTCGGATGAGGTTTCGGAACCTATAATCCGAAACCCGAAACTTTCAGATTTGTCCAAAAAGGTTTCGGGTCCCAACTCTAATGTGAATAATGTTTCATTATGAAAAATATTAGTTCATAAAGATGAAAATAAATAACCGACAGCATTTTACTTATTTTTAAATCCAATATGATTAAAACAATATAAGCACTATAAATGATATTCAACATAGCATTATTCCACGTCTCTAGATGATTGCATGATAAGAATGTAGTTACTTGCATATGGGCCATTCATTAGCTTTTTGTAAGTCTCTTATTTTGTTCCAATTCCATTCAATAAAATTGCCCCATACGATAAATTTCGTCGATATAGCCCATCTCAGCAGATTTTTGAAAATGCCTTATGATCATCTCTTCAACTCCAAATCCATTAAAATAACAATCACCAATATTAAATATTTCATAAACGTTCCTCTCTCTGCTGTGTTAATAAATGGATATTGCTAACTTGCTCCGGTTAATATAACCACCCTTTTCTCTTATTATAACTCAAAAATTCCGTTTGATGCATTAACTAAAAATATTTAACAATATCTTAACTCCATTTTAATATTATATAATTATAATTTTAATTTTAAAATTTGAATAAAAATTAATATTAAATTATGAGTAGAAAAATTTATAATTTTAAGCCGGGATTAAAATTAGTTAAATTCTTTATAAATGAGTGCCGCCAAGAGAAAACCTGCAAATCTTATTAGATAAGATTTGCAGGTTTTCTCTTGGCTGTACTCAAATAATAAAATTTTTTAAAATTTTTATACTTGCTACATAATGCTATACAAACTTAATAAATGAGTTATCATAAACCCGGCCGGGTCAGATTCTACAGATTTTTGAAAAAAATTTTTGACTATATTTACTATGTGGATTTTTTTAATGTCTATAAAAATTCAGTAATATTGATTACAGTAATAAAATTTACACAAATGCTAAAATGTACAGTAGATTGTATATATAGCAGTACAGAAATTCATAATATTAACGAAAAGCAATCGTCGTTAAAATGATCGAGAAGATGACGATCATAAAACGTTCATTCATTATCAGAGGTTCGTTGATATGGGAGAGATTGATGGAATGACATGCTTGGAGCTAAGGCTGTTAATGGAGTATTATACTCCAGAGTAATTTAGGAGCATAAACCACTCCAGATTGCTATAGGAATCAAATAGATTGAGAACTACTACTAAAACTACCCCAGATTAAAAATATAAATAATTTTATCAATTGTTGTATATGGATTTTATTAAGACATTCAACATTGTAGTAAATAAAGTTGTTCTAGATACCAAATTCTAAACTATAATTAGCAAGACG